CGGGCTGCGGGGCTGCGAGCCGGGGAGGCCGTGAGCGCCGGGCCGGGCCCCGCTCACCGACATGCTGACCTTCTTCCTTGTGTCGGGGGGCTCCCTCTGGCTGTTCGCTGGTAAGTCCCCACCGCGTCTCGGTTCTTGACATTCACCCCCGGAGCGCTGCGGGGCCGTGCCCCGGGGTGCCGCTCGTACTATCCTCGCAGCCTCCCAGCCCCGGGCCCGGGTCGCTCGGCCCCCATTGCCGCAAGCTCGGGGCCCGGTGTGGGAAGGCGCCCGCGCTGCGGCGCTGCGCGGCCTGGTTCCCGGCTGCCCTACAACTAGCCCCTTCGGTTCTTGCACCCTGCTCCTCCTCTGTCGGGGGCCATCTGCGTCTAGGACGAGGCCCTGAGCCCACTCTTCCTCCTAGGACAAGACGGAAAGCTGCCTTAACGCTCCTTCTCCCTTCCTTGGGGACCGGAAACCAGGGTGTTGGCCCACACAGTCCCAAGGCAGGTCGGGGACTCCACCTGAGAACCCCTTGACCTCTGACTTGGGATTTTCTCAGGACCCTTGTCTTCTCGTCCAGCAGCCAGAGGGCAAGCTGTCTGTAAAGTGGATTTCCCCTGGCTCCTCAACTTTGTGCAGGGCTTACGCCCCACCCAACCCCCCAGCTGCCCTTCCCTTGCCAAGAGGCTATGAAGACCCTTGCTGGCTCTCTGCCCACCCCCCACCACGAACGTACCACTCACATCTGGGGTCTCACCACAGGCCCGTTCTTCCAGCACTGCACAACCTCTCCCCTCTCTGAGCCTCTGATTCCTTGGGGGGTGGGGATGGATTATGCCTTTGGGATATATAGCGTACCACTAAAGATCTCCACCTCAGCCCCGTGTTCAGGTTAGCTGCTATGTATGCTCAGTGCTGGATCTTTAAACTGGCTTTAAGGTAAGCCTAACCGGTTCAAAGCCAAACCCACTGCACCACTCTGGGGCAGAGCAGAACTGTTTCAGAGGGTTCTAAGACAATCAGTCTGCACAGTGGCGGTGTGCTACGTCTTTCTCCCACAGAGTGCCTGGTAGGTTTAAGAGCCACCAATCTTTTCTTCGTGACCAAGTACTTTAACCACAGTGCCACCAGAGAAAAACCCTATGAATGATAGGGTTTGTTAGTGTTTATTATCTCTTGACATTCAAACAGCAGCGTCAGAGGAAGTAATAAGATTCTTGTTGAATCATGGCAGAAGGGGAAGTGGACCTTCTTAAAATTCTTACCTAAAACTTTGCCTGTATTATTTATCATATTTGCCCCAAAATGATGCACTCACACTAAGATGCATAGCTAGGAAAGTAATGGGAGGGGGGTTGTGTGCTTTGCAGCGAGCCCTGTTACACATGTGTTATTTGCATCAAGTGTAACAATCATAGCAAATCCCAGGAGGTTGGTGGTACCCCCCCATTTTTACTGAGCTTCAGAGGCTATTTGACTTGTCCAGTGTCTCAGGGATATTAATTGGAAGCCTAGGGTGTGATTGAGGTCTCAACTGATTATAGGCAAAGGGTGTGCTAGACCTTTAAACTGGAGGTTGGTGGACCAGGTGCTCACTTTCTCCTACCCCCACCATTGCCCAGCGGCTGGCCACAGGGACACCGTGGCTGGACAGAGAAGCCTGGGAAGGCCTCTCTAATCCCCTCAGCTCTCTAAGCTCCTTCTGCTGCTCACCTCTGAGAACAGGCCTTGCAGGGCCACCTGGTCCCGAGGCAGGCTTCTAACAGACACGTTTGATGATCATGCTAGAGCCAAACCCACTGGCAGCATGTCGATTCTGACTCCCAGTAACCCTGTGTAGGGTTTCCAAGACTGTAGGTCTTTACAGGAGCAGGCATCTTCACGTTTCGCCAGAGGAACCGAGCTGCCATCGGGTTTGAATTACCGAACTTTTTGTTAGTAGCCCTAGGCTTAATCCACAGTACCACCAAGGTCTCACTCAATTCACTACCCTGAGCCGATGCGGATGCATACTGATCTTATAGGACAGAGTAGAACTGACCCTGTGAGTTTCCAAAATGGTAGTTCCATAAGGAAATAGCCCCGTCTTACCTCCTGTGGAGCAGATGATGGTTTCCGAACTGCTGACTTTGCAGTTAGCAGTTCAGCACGATGCCACTAGGGCCCACCAGGGTCAGGTGGGGCTATCAAAATAATGATGATAGTGGTAATAGTAACAGGCACCATTTATTGTTTACGTGATGCTCTCGTAGCCTTTCCTTAGGCCCAGGGAGCCTTTGCCCTACTGTCTGGAAGTCTCACAGAGTTGAGTCCAAGGGCAACCCTCTGAAGCCTTGGGCATGCATGGCTGCAGGGAAGGGCCTGGAGACTGCAGGGCTATATGTGGCAGACTGCGGGGGTTCAGCGGACCACTGATTCAGACTGGCCTATGGTCCTGCTTCCTTTCAGAGGGTTTTCCAAAGTGGCCTTTTGGGTGGTCAGGCTGAGCACCCCTTGGGAAAAATGGCAGCTAGTTCCAAAGAGATCAAGCTTCTTTTTGGCCACAGGAATGGCTTCAGGGTGCCTCTCTTGGTGTTGCAGTGAGAGAGACTGAGGGCAGGTGTGTGACGCTCACTAGCTAGAACACCCCACACACATGTTGGAGCATTCCCGGGCGACGTGTCCACTCCGAGTGGGACTTTGCCTGGACCCTGCCTGGCCTTTGTCTGGCGGTGGAGGTGCCTCTGGGCTGAGAACAGTAGTTTATCGAGCATACCCAAGAAAACAACTGCCTCGTAATCTCCAGGGTCCTGGAACAGCAACCAGATCCCTTAGGCTCAACCAGAAGGAGTGGACCCCTAGGTGATGTCACTCTTTAGTAGATTTCTGTGCTTTTTTTCCCATCCAATCTGGCCCTAGGGTCAGGCAAAGGCTGAGAAAGAGTGACATTGGGGTGGGCGGGGAGTGGTAACTGGAGGAAGAGCTGCCTGGCTGGGCGAGGTGGCTGTGCACAGTATCCTCTAGGAGAGCAAAGGCTGCCCCTGCCCACTTCCCTGCTGTGGAGGCCAGCGCTGAGTGCAGGACCAGCCCAGAGTACACCTGGCTGTGGAACAGTGAAGGAAACGTGTATAGCAGGTCCCGTGTGAGGCAGATGCTGTACTCAGCCCGAGATAACATGGCCTCAGGACTTCAATCCAGCACTCTCAAGAACAAACTTTGCCTTGTGAAATAGCATGGCTTGGTATTCCGTAGGAGTAGTAAGCCTCATCTTTCTTCTATGGAATGGCTGATGGTTACGAACTGCTGACCTTGCAGTTAACAGCCCAGTGCATAACCACTAGGAGCTCAGATTTAGCTGCAGTGGCCAATACAGTTCAAAAGAAAGGGAGTATTGCCATGAGCAATGAGAGGCTGTTTTGTTTGGTGTTATGGGTGAGACCAGATAGGCTCCAAGGAGGGCCCGAGTCAAGGCCAGGCTCCAGGAAGGAGATGGAGGTGCTCCGGGGAGAGAGAGGTAAGGGGAGGCTGCCAGGCCAACAGCAGGCAGGCATAGCAGGCCTCTGACTCCGGATGTACTAGGCAGGGCTTGCACACCCCAGCTCAGACCAACCCACCTGGATCCTCCACCTGGAGCTTTCATCACCACTCCAGGCAGAGGTATCTAGTCAATAGTTAGTACCTGGACAGAGGGTGGAGCTTCAGGCAGAACAAGCAGCTCTCTGGCCTGCTGAGACAAGGGACACCCAGCTATGCACAGTTCGAAGCACCAGGTGAGAGGAGGCTGACCCCAGTCTCTTCTCGCTTCTCCCCAGCCTGTGTAGTAGGATGCCAGGGGCTTCCAGCAGACCACATGGACAGCAGGGGGCGACAGAACCTGGTCATCGGGCTCTCCAGCTAATTCCTCCCTGGTTGGCCTGGGACCTCGGCCTGTCCCAAACACAGCAGGTAGGGTGAGTGAGCAGGAAGCTCTGGCTTCTTTGAGAAAGAGGCAAAAGTCACAGAAATTCTGCTGTCTCCAGACACTCAAATATGGATGGGATGAACTGCTCGGTGGATGGATGTGTGTGAAGGAGGTCTTTTCAGCAGCCGGATGAGGAGCATTGTTGCAAGTATATGTTGTTACAAGTAAGCTACTGTTTCATTGAGCACCTGCCATGTAGCAAACACGTTGCTCTACAATGCCCCCATGTTCGAGTTCAAGGAAGGACCACTAGGCGTGGCCAGCGGGGGCCTGAGCCCCTCCAGCCAGGCTTATCAAGGAAGAGGTCCTTGGACAAGGATGGTTCAGTGAGAGGACACTTGCAGCGTACCAGGAGCAAGGGCTGATGCACAGGAAAGGGCTCTTGAAGTGTGCACTAAAGTGGTAACAATGAGGTTCAGGATTCCTGCATGCAAAAAGGAATAGGGAGAGAAAGGCGTGTGTGCAGAAAGGTTGACACTAGGAACAAACAAGGTCTAGGGACAGTTTCTGCTGAGCCAGTGAGGTCACCAGGTTCTGCAGGCTCTAGAGTGCCAGGCCAAGCAGCATTGACTTTGTTCTGTGAGGCGGCTGCCTCACGGAAGTGTGACTGGAACTGGAAATGAGGGTGGCCAGGGTGATAGCTCCCCTGCTCCTCAAGCTGTCCGCATTCCGTGGTGGTGCATGTTCCACTGAACCGTGGCCTTTAGCCTCTTCCACAGGCTCTGGGCTCTCCGTGGGAACAGCGACAAGCTGACCCATTCCACACCCCCATCCAGGTTCAGGCACACGGCATACATGGGTGTTGGTTGCCTGAATGAGTGCTATTAAAAAAAAAGAAAAAGAAAACCTCCTGAGAACAACTTATCTCCATCACAAAGTTTTATAAGCTTTTCTGTGACCACAAGTTCACCAGCAAATAACAGAGCTTAAGTATGAGCCTACTAGATGCCAAGCTGCTTGCCCGGGTTGGGGATGATGTCAACCTGGTATTTGGAAGGGAACGCAGGTGTGAACCCCTTGCAGACTGGGCCAGTGTTAACAACCAGTGTGGCTGGCTCTAGAAGTAACTGCTGAACGAAAGAATGCATGAATGGGCCAGTGACAGCTTTGGGGGATGATGGTCTCTGCTGAGGGTGAGATCATACTGCTACCTTGGAGCCCCAAGGCTCTGGTTGCTCATCAAATTGG